TTCAAAGGAGATACGAATAACCGAGGGTTCAAGCGTTTATTATAACTACTTAACGTGAATGTGAGGGTGATTGAGTAGTTAGAAGCTTAAAATATGAAGATGAATCAGAAGAAAGAAATGGTAATTTACACACTCGGTGGGTGTTCATGAAAAGCAAAGAATAATTAAGATACGGGACAAAGAACAAAGGGATGGAGCACCACTATCTTTTTCGGCTAAAAGCCATTCTTTTCGAAAGAGGAAATTAACGTCGTCCACGACTCTGAGTGTCGCCTATTGGAAAAGGCATTTCTTTTAGCTGCTTCTAATGCATCAGGTGCCACCGACTGGTTAATACAAATAAACGAATGAAAGAAACCATGAGAATCTCAGCTCCAAAGGGGGAAAAATACCATGAGAATAGACAATTAAGGACAACAAATTGGTTTTGCGACAAGCATGAATTGCAGGAAACAAGAGAGATGCGATCAAAAAGAGACAAATGAAGGAGAAGGAGAAGAAGTAAGAGAGTGGAATCTCCATCCTAAGCAGCGCTTGGAACGGTCACCCACTCATTGAACCAGGAAAACAGCGATGAAAGTGCGGGAAGATGAAGTGCGTGTTTGGATTTGCTTGATAATCGATTTTTTCAGCAAAAAAATAGATTTTTCAAAAACATACCCAAACACCAATTAAATTGATAATCAATTATAAAGAGAAAAATCGATTAAATCCTTGAGTTTTACCGGCGCGCTTCTGGCGTTTAATCAGAAGGGAAGAGAATAATAACCAAAAAAAAAAAAAAAACTGTTCAAAAAGCACATGGTAAAATTACAAAAAAGACCTGAGAAAAAATTATAAGAAAGATACAAAATTTAATAAAAATAAAACTGAACTCTTTTATGTTCTCTCTCTCTTTCCCTCTCTTTTTATTTAGTAAAATTTAAATTTTAAATACTCAAAAAAGTTGCTAGCATAAGTTCATGTCAACCACCGCTCTTCATTTAACACTTACTATAAAATTAATTTAAACAAAATATTAATTGATAGAAAAAATTTAATTTAAAATTTATGGACATTACAAAGATTGTTGCAAAGGTTTAAAGAGACAAATATTTTGCATCATTTGTTACATTATTATATTTTTTTGTGTTGTCAAATTTTAAGTTAGTGTTTAACATCTTTGTCATATATAACTTATATTTGTAATATCATTAGAAATTAACTTGTATATTATCATCTTCATTAGTTATTGTATAATTGATGTTTAGTATTTAAGAATTAAATATTTCTCTTTTATTAAATTTATTTGAACTAAGATATAATGAGTTATTTATTTACGTAAATTAAAACATTAATATTAATATAATTTAAAATTTTTTAATTAATCAGATATGTAACTTAAATAATATACTTTACTCCTTAAATAAAATTTAACAAACTTAATAATATGAGATACAAATTTATCAATAATTTAATTTTAAAAAGTAATGTCCTTTATGGTAATCTATACGATTAAAATTAATTTTGATTAAATTATTCAAACATTTTCAATTCTGTTAAAATTAATTTTAGAAAAATAATATCTAAACAGATTATGTTATAACATAATCAATTATGATTAAAATTAAACATTTAATCATTATTTTTATAATCAAGTATACCTAATTGAAATTTAAATGGGCACTTAGTTCAAAGGAACAGTCATAGGAACAATTTTATGTCAGGTGATATTTATTTTATAGGATGCCAATAAAGAATATATTAAATTAAAATTTAAAATTTCTTAAATATTTTTTTTAATGAATATCATAACTTCTTCTTCGTTTTTGGGCCAACACGAAAATCACAACATAAAAAAATATGGAATGGCAAATCCCATCACAGGCTCCCACTAACAAGGATTGAAGTTGATTATAAAATATTCCACATGGGCTAAATAGGCATTTACAAATGACCACAATCTATTTCCCAAAAAAAGAAAAAAACCCAACTAAGGTTTCCAAATGGTACCTGTATATAAGCAAGTGATTGGTTTGTCACGCGTGACGAACTTGTGTCCGTTTGGATAAGAAAAAAACGTGCGTTTTGGACTCAAAATTAATTTTTTTTTGCCAATTTATCCAAACAATCAAAAATGATCAAAAATCAATTATGAGTCAAAACGCGCGTTTTTCCATAAGCTCCCTCCGTCCGCTTTCTACCGAAAGTTTGTCAAAAATATTGAGAAAAATTACAAAAACAAGCCCAGGATAAAATTACAAAGAAAGCACATAATTTAATAAAAATAAAATTAAACTCTTTTCTTTTTCTTTTTTTTCTTAATAAAATTTAAACTTTGTATATTTAAAAAATTAATATTTTATATTTAAAAATTAAATTATATAGTAATTTATATAGCTAAAAATTAATTTTAATTAAATTATCCAAATATCTTCAATTCTATTAAAATCAATTTTAAAAAAACAGTATTCAAACAGATTACGTTATAACATAATCAATTATGATTAAAATTAACCACTTAATCAATTATTTTCATAATCTATTATACCCAACTGAAATCCAAACGGACCCAAATAGAAAGATGGAAAATCATGTTTAACTCCCCTCAATAAAATTAATCACAAATAAAGATTAACGTAAAATAAATTACTATTAAAAAATATGACTTATTTTTTATCCATTAAAATTTATTATTAATTTTTATCTGTGATTAATTCTTTTAAAAAAACCTAAATGTGATTCTCCTTGAAAAAACTAATATTTCAAAAAAATACTAATTTATTATATATAAACGAGACTGTCCAGATTAAATATTATTGGATGCTCAGATTTTGGGAAAATTTCAGTAACTCCCGGCCTAACATAATTCTAATTAACTCAAAAAATTCTGATATTTGCAAGCCTAAAATAAAATTAAAGAAATAATTTAAATGACTTTATTGTTCTTAATAAAGCTAACTATATGTATGAACAATTTATGTAAAAAAAGTGACTAATTAATATATGAGAAATGAACAATTGATATAAATAAAACTTGCAACTCTCATTAATAAATAAACGCTGCTGTAAATTTATAACTTGTTCCATCTATTTTAATTATTCATTTTTGTACATGAATTGTTCATGCGTTTTATCAGAGACAATGAAATCATTTGAGTTATCTTTTTTATTTCATTTTAATCTCTTTAATATTTAGTGAAATTTTAAAATTTTAGAAGGTTAATTAAAATTACATTAGACCAAGAGGCTGGTTGAAATTTATTCATGAAGCAAACTTACTTACAAATAAATCCCACAAAATTTAAAATTACAGTCAAATCTTTTAAGACTTAAATGTAATTTAAAATTAGGATATAAAAAAATAATATCTCTATTAAACAAACATTACATTAATCAAATAATTAATTTACAACTACTTCATTTGCAATTTATAACTGTAATTTTAACTTTTTATAATTGTAAATTCATATATTCAATAGTAAAACAATCATGTGTTATTAATAAAATTTAACATTAATTGTTTACAACTACTTTATTAGTAATTATTTACAAATATAACTTCAAGTTTTTATAAGTGTAACTTTACATATTCAATAGTTAAACTGATTAGTTTAATTTAATTATTAAATATGTGAAATTATAATTATAAAATCTTAAAATTACAACTGTAAATGACTGATAAAGTAGTTGTAAATTATTTGACTACATCATGTATCTATGTTTAATGGTGGCATTGTTATCTTTTTATTACAATTTTAAATTATACTCAAGTCTCAAGGGACTTAGTTATGATTTTTGAATTTCACATGACTTATTTGTAAATAAGTTCACTCTGTAGGACCTATATGTAATTTTTTTTCAATTTTTAATTGTTTGTAATCTTAATTTTCAAAGAGTAAAAATTTTTAAAATATCTTTATTATATACAAGAGTAAAAATAAGTAGTTCAAATTTTATTGTTTGGAATTTTAATTTAGGGTTAATGGGCAAAAGGGACTATAAATTCTTAAAATATGTAAAATGAACCCTAAATTTTTAAATTTATAACAAATTAAACTCAATTGTTAATAGTGAAAACTTTTTTCCAAATGAGATTTCAATTTTTCACAATTAAATAAATAAACATTATTCACAATAAAACTAAATTAGAGTTATAGAATATATAAAAGCTTGAGCTACCACTTGTTTGGAAAACATAGCAAATAGGTCGTTTGCTATGAATAATGATGCCTTCATTATGATGGACCACATTGATGGTAATTTAGTCTACATAATAGTCAGTGTTCTACACATAAACAGTGAGGGTAATTTGCTCTGAATTTCAAAATTTAAAATACAGGATGATACTTGTATAATAATTTAGAGTCTGTGATACTAATTAAAAATGACATATCAGCAAGGGACTAACACATCAACATTTTGACTTAGCCCCACAAAGTGAACAGTAAAGATCTTAATGGTGAATTAACAGTGAAATTTAATTTAATATGAATTTAAAATTTTAAAATTCATTTTACACATCTTAAAAATTCAAGATCTAGAGTGCTTTTCACGCAATATTTCAAGATCTATTTTGCTCATTAACCCTTTAATTTACAAAATGATAAATTTTAAAATAATTTATGTGAGGGTAAAATAATTTTTGTATATTATTACCATATACAAAATAAGACTAAAGCATACATTTAATTCTTTAATTTTACACAAAGTTTTATGTTAGTCCCTTAACTTTATAAAGTGTTTTGTTAATCTAGAGTCTTTAATATAGCAAAACATTTTTAAATATTGACATATTAAATTTAATTTTTTAAAAAAATAACAAGTATTAACACAAAAAATAATCATTTAAAATTAATTGTGTTAGGGTTAAAAGACTAAAAAAATAATTTATAAAATTAAGAAATCAAATTAAAACTTTATATAAAGTTAAAGGATTAAAAATATAATTTAACCTACAAAATAATAAATTTTAAAATGAAACAAGTTATTTTATAGCACGGATGATTGTAACAAATTGTAAAATAAAAAAGTTATTTTTTATATTCGAACATGGATTCCCTGTACAGCGCGAAAAGAAAGAAAGAAAGAAATTCTAGTTACACAATGATTCTCCGCCAATTTCCCAGAAATTAAAGCTCAAACTGACATCCGTTCACCATTTACTTTATGAGGGTTGAACATCAGGCTTGAATTCTGGGAGATTAGTTAGACATCTAATGCTAAGTTAAACGCTAATTACAATTTTTACACTATGTCAGACCTGGAAAGATGATCAGTAGTACTCGTTGGAGTAAAGGAAACCCGAACAGCATTACTGCTCATCGCGGGACTCTGGACTAGGAGCGACCGGAATCCCTCGTCAATTCAAGAGTCATCGGAGTATTGCAGCCAGGGCAATGCAGGGAAGCTCCATTGTCGCAGCAATTACCCAAGGAACATTTTGAAGGGAGCTGTTTCATTTGCACAAAGTTAATTTGCCGAATTCTTCAGCAAATTAACTTTGTGCAAATGAGAAGTATTGGTCCAGCCTGTCAAATAAGTTGAAATTCCTAATCAATTAGCATTGGTGAAACTAATTAAGATATTACACTTTGCGCAAGTCAACCTAGTATTTTATTATGGTTGTTATCATCGTAATCTTTAAATCACACGTACTCAATTCTAAAGAGACAGGAATCTTGCGTTAATCAATTTGAGATTCATTCAAACTTTCACAATACAAAAGCTAGAAGAAAACAAAAGAAAAACTGGGACAAAGCCTCAAGCCAATTTGTTCCAATGCTTTAAAAATTCTTAGATAACGGAAAAACACAGTCAAAGCAAGCAGCAGAACCTGAAATAAATCTTGCTTGGATGATATTTAAGAATTAAAATTACACATTCAAGGAAATTATCCGCAATAGTAACTCTCATGGTATCTAGACCAGCATTACTTCTTTCATGATATAATTTTATCAGAAGAAATTATTGAATCACAATATTTACCATGCACAAGAGCATGTATTTTAAATATCAGGCGATACACGAGGGTATCAGCGGGTGAATTGACACTATGTGTGTGTGTGTACCATACTGAACAGTATACCATTAAAAAAAAAATATGTACACATCAACACTTACTTGAATGTACTCTCAACATGCATTAAGATTTTTGCAACTCTTACGGGTATGCCCAGCCTCTTGACATCTAGAACAATGGTAAGCTTTTTTATGTTGAAATTGAGACTCACGTCGAGTACTTTGTGGCGGTCTACCTGGAGGACGAGTAGTCATAGGTGGCTTTAAAGAGGTTTGCGGCATATCATCATTCAATGCAAGTGCATTCAATCTTGGCATGTCATTGATCTCAACAGGAATCATTGTGCTATTGTATATTTTCTGTTGTGAACTCAATAGATAACATTCCTCAACATAAGCATAAACATCATCATGTACTCTTTTTATGGCTGCACATGCATGAGTACATGGTATTCCAGACATTTGCCATGCTTGGCAGGTACAATCTCGAAATGCAAGATTCACACTAAAATTTGTTAGTCCAGTTCGCACTAATATCCTATTTGGTCCATAATACTCAGCTTCCATAACTTCAGCCATCAATACATTTTCCTTCAATTTCGCCTCTACATTTAGACCCACGCCATTTTTCCACTCTATCATTGCCTCTTTGCTAGCATACAATTCCTTAGCCAACTTTTCTTGATGCTCATGTATCAATACACATACATTATGATTTATCTCCTTAACAAGCCATAAATTGAATGATTCTGCAAGATTAGTAACAATATTATCCCACCTACGGAATGGGAATCGTGATAGAGCCCATCGATCAATATCACCATTAGTTTCAAGCCACTGTGCCATCTCTGGACAAAAAGATCTCAAATTTCCCATAGCTACATTAAAATCACACTCAAGTCTTGCATAGGCAATAGCATCAAGCAACTTTAGTGCATCTTCCTTGTTATAACCATTATTCTTTCCTGTACCTTTGATAATTTTTGTAACCTCTAAGCTAAAATTTTCTTTCAAATGCCGATAGCAATAGGCATGTCTCTCATCCCCAAAAGTTGCTCTCACAGCAGCAATTATTGCACTATTTCTATCCGAGACTACAGTTACTTGCACTGAACTTGTTATGTCTTTCACATTGTGCAAAAACCATGCCCACTCATCAAATGTTTCTCCACAAGCAATTGCATAAGCAACTGGAAACAACTCATTATTAGCATCATATGTAGAAGCTGCTAACAATGTCAACTTGTAAGGACCATTTAAGTGGCACCTATCAAGATACAATATGGGCCGAGATCCGAGCAAAAAACCATTTATACAACATCCATAAGCAATAAACAACCTCTCAAACCTATTGTCTGTGGAAGCCGACCATCTGGCGACAGTGTTAGGGTCATTCTCCATTAATCTTTCACACATCCAAGGAATTAACATAAAGGAATGTTCAGGAAGACCATGCATTTCCTCTAGTGCTCTCTTTTTCCCCCTCATAGCTTGACGATAACTTAAGCTCACACCATATTCTCTATAGAGGTAATTTCTTATTTCATTTGGAGCTTTGTCCACACTAGACCTAATCCCATCCATAATGATAGATGATGTCAAATTTGATCTTGCCATGCGAGGAACTATCAAATTATCTTGTGCTGAATGGATGTGCTCTTGGTGGAAACTTTTTACACTCAACAAGGGGGTTGTTTTAGCCATTGCATATGCTGTTATCTTCCATTTGCAGCCATCTATCTTACACTTGACAATCATCTTTTTAGAACTATTCCTCACAAAGATGTAGCTGAATTTGTGTGCAATGCTATACTTATAAAGTGCTTGTCTGAAAGTTATAGCATTTTCAAAAATCTGCCCAACTCCCATGAACAAATCCTTCCATTGTGCTGTATTCAATTCATGCATTGGTGTAGATGCACTAAGTATTGTACAGGGTATAGGTCCAAGTTCAAGTCCATGGCTAGATGGAGGACAGCTTGCACTTGAATTCCTAGATGAACGCTTTAATCTGCATTTAGAATCAATCTCATTTCATCAGTACACATTACTAATAACATCTTCATTAATTAGAAGTAAATCTAACAACTTACACTCGAGAAGACTTTCTTCGTATTGGTGCAGATGCACTCTGTACTGCACAAGGTAAAGCTTCAGGTTCAGGTTCACGGCTAGATGGAGAGCTTGCACATGCATTCTCAGACGAACGCCTTAATCTGCATTTAGAATCAATCCTATTTCATCAGTATGCATTACTAATAACATCTTCGTTAAGTACAAGTAAATCTAAGATCTTACCCTTGACAAGACTTTCTTGGTGCCTCTATAATTTGATTTGCCTTTTCAACAATGTACACATGAGCACAATTGTCATTAAACTTTATTAATTGTGCAACTCCTTCATCATCTTCAAGGTCTAGAAATGTATTAGAATCAAATTTGATGGTGTACTTCATCTCAGCTCCATTAGATTGATATTCCATACATGATGTTATAATTCCTATCAATTCTTCACGAGTCATGCCTTCCTTAATAACTCTACCATTTGATCTCCCTCCCTCATAATACATTTTCCCTTCAGCATTCGTCACAAATTCTCCCCCAATATGAAAATAACAAAATAATTCTTTCAAAGAAGCACTTGCCATCCGTGATTTAAACCTGGAAAAAGAACATAAAATATGTTACAATGTCGTTAACAATACACATTAATTAACAACACCCCCTTACAATATTTTATAAGTTTCAGTAGCGTACCAACTGAAAGTTGGATCACCCAAAAATGTTGAAAACAATTAATTATCTAGTCATACGAAATAAGAGAGCACCACTCCAATTCAAATACACAAACAACATACAAAAGGGGCAGGAATCCTTCCCATGAGTAATATGCAGCTACATATAAGAGTTAAGACTATGACATGATGAATCAAAATACATCAAAGCAAATTTGCTCGCATGAACTATGCAATGGTCACCAGGTAGCAAGCTAGTCTACTCTATGATGAAGAAGCACTGGATCAACTCTACTGTCTGAAGTACCAAATAATTTAATAAGTAAATAGCATCCCATGGTATAACTTACCGATGAAGTAAAGAGTGGATCCCTTGATCACAAATTGAAATACACCCCTATAGCTTCCAACGCATACAAAATGAAAAGAATATTATTATTCCATATATCAGTTCATGGAAAAGCATAAAAACCCAATTGACTTAGTATTAATGGTTTAGTAATTTCTATTAATTAACCCCTTTTTGAATTAATATTGTAGTGCTTAATACGAGATTTATCCATCACTAGTAACATATATTGCTGGCCTTGAATGTCCACAAAAGAAAAACGATGAACCATGAATAATGAAACTAGCATATCATTTTTCCTTGAACACTTGTTTAACCATGCATTAAAAGGAAGAGATAAGAATTCCTTTCTTAAGCAATACAAACCTCACCTTATGCTCAAACTTCCACTTAATTCTCTTTTAATAAATTATATTCTAGAATTCTTCATTCCAAAAACCACTTATCCAAATCAACAGGATTCAGTAACTTTCACAACACAAAAGTTGTATCCAACATTCATAAGTATGGAACATACCAAACATACAACTTAAACATAACTCTTGCGTACAAATCGTCCTTATTTCAATACTTAGGACCATTCATTAACATAATCTAATTCAAATAACATGATCTTCTCCAAAAATATAGAGCTTTCAAGAGCACATCCCAACAATTAAGATTATCAGCTACCAAGTACCAAACTCAATGATAGCTCTTTTAGCCTTCCAAGAATTTAAGAAAGGCTGTGCACTTATAAATATCATAGAATAAGCTCCACAGAATAAAAAATCTTCTCCCAATCAACATGCAAGCATCGATAAAGTTCTACGAGACTTTCAAAACATCAATTTCACCAATCAAATTAAAACCCCCAATTTCTAATCCATCGAAACTAAAGAAAAGGAGAAAACAAAATATAGGCATCGACTAGGCATTGAAAACCTAGGCAAGGGCTAATGATGAAAATAGATAATTAGAAAGAGTCCTGAATGCCTCCAATTAGGGTCCATCATCAATGCAACCCTCTCCCTTGTTCATACGCGGAGCACTGGCGAGGAATGCAAGAAAGAAGGACCATTCAACAAATGCAATGGGGGAAGAGTGTTAGGCTGCTTGAAATTATAAGAAAAGAGGGAAAGGAAGAAGAGACTTACTGATCACACCAGAGAGGTCTTACTCGACGTAGTAAGACTGAGAAAAGAGAGGAGGGGAAGCTTGACTGATCCTGCCAACCAAACACCACACCAGGAATGCGACGGAAAACCGAAGAAACGGGAAGAAGGGCGAGTCTGATGAATGCAATAGGCACGAGAACAAGATTGTGCGATTCAAGAGCTATAGTTCTGCGAATTTTTTCAACCCTCCCCCTCGAACATCTCAAGATTTAGATGAATGAAGAAGACGATTCAGTGAGAATGACAAAACAACCAAGCTTTTAGGTTAGAAGGGAGGGCATTTCGGATAATCCACAGCGAAAAAAACTGAGTTTTTACATACTCAAGGCCTTATAATTATATACTTATTTTTTTAAATTTAATACAGTTTTATACAATTAAATTAAAGTAATTTTAATATTATAATAACATTAATAATAAAAAGTTATTAAAAAGAAGCATGTTTCGATTTAATTTAAAATATGCATATAAGATTAAATATATTAGTTTTTTTTAATAAATGTGAATATTTCTACACCTATTAACTTGGATTCATGAATGGCAATTTAGTTTTATGAATAGGGAGAATAAAATAAGATAATTCATGAAAGCCTTAATCAAGTGCTTTGAATTTTGGAAGGTCATGGATATCAGCAAATCAGCAAATATAATAATATTTACAATTACAATTACAATTTACAATAGTTGATTTTGTTGATTTTTTTTGTTTAAAAAAACATTTGTTGACCTTCAATACAATAATGGATAATTGATTCTTTCTTTTCGAATTATTAACATTTTTGTCCCAACAAGTCTTCTAGGTAATTACTATGAGTGCATCTTAACACAAATATTCAACTTTCATTTTTTTTAAATTTGTTTTCATTTCTTTTTTATTTCATTTTTATTTATATTTGTTGTTATATTACGATTTCACATATTTTAATTTTCTTTGAAAAATTAAAATAAAATGTAAAATTCATGACAAATTACATTATCAATAAATTATAAAAAATGCTATCTACTCTCTCTTTTTTTATATAAACTAAATAATGCTATATACTCGCAAACTCTATCCAAAAACATGAATTGGCATGGATAATTAATTAGTGAGAAGATATTATAAAATGAGAAAAACTTACCCCTTCTATTAAAAAATGTAAGACATTTTTTGAGGAGTTAGATGTTCAAAAATGTCAGACATTTTTAGTCTTTCGAGGTGTAATCATTATCTTTTTTTCAAAAGTGCCTGTATTGATAATAACTTTATATTTATTATATGGTGTTTAATAGAGGTAAATATGAAAAGATATGACTAGTTGAAAAGTAGGTAACTACTTTATTAGGGAGAGATTCAATTAAAAATGTCTTATATTTTTAAGTGGAAGAAATATATACTTAACTTTATATGCTTAAGATGATTATTTTTAATTAAATTAAGACATGTATATCTTTTATAGATTGTTTATTCTATAAACAATTTGTACCATTAATATTGAATGTGTTATAATTTTAAATGTTCTTGATTATTTTAACCTAAATTATGCTTCATCATAATCTTAAAGAGTGTTTGTTGGGCTTGCTTGTAATCTAACATAATTTTAGGGGTCATTTGGGTTGTAAGAAGTTGAACATACTTGTTAAAATTTGCCATTGATGACCTGACTTGAGCCTACAACTAAAGAGAGTTGAATTGGGCTCAATAATCCAAGGCTTAATTACAGTCCTTGGTGAAGTTAAGTTGCTAGTGAGAATTATTCTAATGATTTCATAATTTGGTTAAGAAGAGAAGAATTAAGGGTGGCAAATTTACATTTCATTAGTGATTAGGATTTGAGCATTAATCTAACTCCAAATACCCTATTTCATCTCATTTTACAAACTCATTAGCTTACGTTTTTAGGCTTTAATTAAGTTAATTAGTGTTTTAGTTTTAATCAATTAAAATTAATCAACTCTTGGGATTTTTATTTTAATTTAATTGCATTAAGAAGCTCTAAATTTAATCTTTAAACACCTCTTTGTAAGATGACCTAGGTTGCCACTATATTATATAGTTGGTTAATCTAGTTTAAATTGCTAAATGTGCGATTGCTTGGTTCAACCACCAAAACTTTAAAATTCATGCATCAATTGCAAATTTATAATGATGCTATGCTATTAATGAAAGTTGTAAAATTTACCTATGTCAATTGTTCATTTTCAATACATTAATTGTCTGTTTTCCCTGTATGAGAGTTAAATTTAAATTATGTTGGATCAAGTGGGTTGACTGAAATTTTCCCCCATATCAGTCCCATGAATTAAACTACCAATTATCAATCAATCAATGAAACAACTACTCCTTTAATCCTATTTATATGGCAAAGAGATGGTATTTATTTTAGTCATATTTAAGAGCACACCAATGATTATTATAATACCTTAAATTTTTAAACCGATTTATTTCATCTATTAAGGTGACTACCTTAAAACTTAACTTCAAAACGCTTACTATGGTAAAATAATATCTACCATGGTATAAGGAATGAACAATATTCTTCAAAACTTCATGATAAAAAGAAGATAAATTCTTATTTTAACCCCCACTATGATAGAAAAGATTCAAAACAATTTTATAAGGGTTTTGTTATGGTAGAATAATTCGAAGTGAGAAATTTTAGGAGAGTTGAGAGGGTAGAGAGAAGAATAAAGAAGATAGAGGGGAATTGAGGGAATTTAGAGACAATAAAGATAAAACTGAGTAATGCTTAGTCTTCATTCATAATCCATAATGAGTACAAGAATCTAAAGGTATTTATAGGAGTACGAATTCCCCAACAACAATATATAACTAACTAATTTCACTATTATAAAAATATAACAATGCTCCCCTCAAAGAGATTGTTACCCTCAAGGATAAGTTATAGCAAAATGGGGAAACTTTTGTTGAAACTGGTATAAAGGCATCCAAGATGCTTCCTCATCCGGCAATTGCTTCCATTTGACTAAAATTTTAGTGATGATTCTACCCCTCTTAAGTCCTACTCTTTTTACAAAATTTGCTCCGGTTTTATTGTGGTTGGAATTTTTGGCCAAACAAGTGGTGGATGTCTCTGCTTCACCATAGGATCAGGGCACAACTTCAACAAAGACACATGGAAGGTAGGATGTATTCTAGAGTCAGGTGGTAAATCAAGTTTATAAGTAATTGTCCCTATCTTTTTCAATACCTTGTAGAGTCTAAAAAATTGAGAAGCCAATTTTTGAGAGCTCTTAGCAACAATTGACAATTGTCTATAGGGTTGTAATTTAAGAAAAACCCATTGACCCACCATAAACTCTTGGTCAAATCTGTGAGCATCAACCTTTTGCTTCATCATATTGGTAACACGATGCAAATGATGCTTTAGAATCTTTATCATCTCTTCCCTAGCTATAAAGGACTTGTCTAACACAACTAAAACAAAATTGTGAGGTAACTAAGGATAATGGAGAGAAGGAGCCTGACCATATAAAAGTTCAAAAGGAGTGGCCTTAGTTGCTGTATGAAAAGTAGTATTCACCACCATTCAGCTTATGATAATCATTTACTCCATTCCTTGAGTTGCACCCAACACATGCACCTTAAATAGGTTTCTAAGCACATATTAAGAACTTTAGATTGCCCATCCATTTGAGGATGATAGGCTGTAAAAAGATGCTGTTAAATACCTAAAATTTTCAAAAATTCCTTCCAGAATCCCCTTACAAAAATAGGATCACAGTCAGATATAATTTCAGCAGGAGCACCATGTAATTTATAAACACAATCCATAAAAAAATTTAAGCTAAAAAAGATGCTAAGTAAGGATGTGTTAAGGGAATAAAATGTGCATATTTACTTACTCTATATATCAATACCCAAATTGTGTCCTTACCGTTGGATTTAAGAAGTCCTTCAATAAAATTCATAGTAACACTTTCCTAAATTTGCTAGGTATTAAAAGAGGTTGTAACAGCCTTGGTGATGTAATAGCTTTATATTTATAGTGTGCACAGGATATCATATTGTTTGATGAAATCTGTGACATAGTTAATAAGCTTCTTCCACCAAAATAATGCTTTAATCCTATGATATGTAGCTTAAATCCCCGAATGTTCCCTTTGAGGACTAGAATGTGACCATTCAAGAATTTCTTATTTCAAAATAAGATCATGTCCCACTACTAACTTCCCTTTCCTCCTTAATAAATCCTTATCCCAAGAAATATGGCCCTATATCCCATTACTTGCCTAAACCCTCTTCTAAATTTATGTAATTATAGAATCCTTCTTCCAACTCTCCTTGATTTTTTCAAGCATTTCAAGCAAATAAGTGTCTAAAATAATCTGCATTAGTTGCTGTTTAGGAATTTTGGAAAGACTATTAGCTATAGAATTTTCATGTCCCTATTTATATTGAATTTTATTATCAAATCCAACTAATTTAGTAATACAAAACATCTAAAAGGATGTTTTTAGCTTCTGTCTAAGCAAATATTTCAAGCTTTTCTAGTCTGAGCGAATGGTAAATTTCTACCTTTTCAAATATTAGTGCCAATGGAGAATGCCGGCACCACAACCATTAATTCTTTCTCGTAAATTGAGAGTTTTTTATGCCACTTAGCCAAGCCTTTGCTAAAATAAGCAATTGGTTGTCCCTCTTGCATTAGAATAGCTCCCAATCTGCCCACAAGCATTTACCTCAACTATAAATTATTTTGAAAAATCTAGAAGTGTGAGCACAGGTGCTAAAATCAAAAACACCTTTAAGGTTGTTAAATGCTTCAGTAGCTGCCTATGACCATTCAAACCCAAATTTCTTAAAGAGAAGGGTTAAGGCTTAGTTAAAATCCCATATCCTTTAATAAAGCATCTATAGTACCCTATCAAACCCAAGAATGCTCTTAATTGCTTAACACTATGTGGTTTAAGCCAATCAGCTATTGCTTGTAAACTTCCTTGGATCAATTCTGACTAAGCCATTTCCAATCAAGTGTCTCAAGTGCTCCACCTCTTTGGCAATGAAGGAGCACTTACTTTTCTTAACAAAATAATAGTTTTCTCTTAAAATAGAAAAGACTTTCTTCAAATGCTACAAATGGTCATTAATATTTTTAGCACTATAAATCAAAATATTATAAAAGAATACCAAAACAACCTCCTTAAAAACGATATGAAAATGTTGTGCATGGCTTCTTGAAATGTCGCCAGAGCATTAGTTAAGTTAAAAGGCATAACTAACCACTCA